ACTTCAGATGATTGCCCCCCCCTCCTCCCCGTATTTCCATTTAAAAATAAAGTGGACTATCTATGTGATGTCTGCATACATTGTTTTAATCTAATTTTCTTTGAAGTTAAGGATCTGAGTCCAGGTGTGTGGAAAAAGGTGATGCAGCAGCCCTGCAAGGTTTAATGATCCCTGCCTGTCCCATGGCTCCTCTTTTCCCACAAACTGTAGTTGCTTCCCTTCTCTCACAAATTGTCATAAGTGGTGAACTCCTGGAAAATGCTGAGCGTTTCCCTTACCTTGATAGCCACCTCTCCCAGACAGCCAATCTTGATGTGGAGATTGAACGTAGGCTCTGTTGTGCCTTCGGAAAATTGCAGTGGTCCTCCCCACTCTTCTATATGGGTGCGAGACATGAGTGACATACTGAAGCCATCTTAGGTGTCTGGAGTGGTACCAACAGCGCTGTGTTAGGAAGATTCTCGATATCAGATGGGAAGATCATCACACTTATGCCAGCATTCTCTCTGCAGTTAATATCACCAGAGTTGAGGTGAAGATTATGAAACATCAACTCTGCTGGGCTGGCCATTGTGTGCAGATGGCAGATACTCGCCTTCTGAAACAAGTCCTCTTTTCTCAGTTTAGTCATGGTAAGAGAACTCGTGGGGGACAGAGGAAACGGTGCAAGGACCTCTGAAAATATATCTTAAGAAGGGAGGCATTGACCCTATGAATTGGGAGGAGCTGGCTGGCAATAGACTGCAATGGTATTGCATCACACATCAAGCCTCAGCCTATTTTGAAGAGAATTGCCTTCCTCAAGAGACTAAGAAACAGCAGAGGAGGAAGGGAAGTGTACAGCATGCTGGCCGACAGTTGTGTTCTCTCCAAGCAACCACATATCCTATATGTGGAAAAACCTGAAGAGCATAGATTAGACTCCTCCGCCATCTTAAGTCTCATCAATGATTCTTCCCTCGGCAGACATCATCCTTGTATTGAGGGATAGCCAATGATCACCTGGCTCAGTGGGATATATAAGGTAGAGGAAACTGGGCCTACAGGCTGTTTTCTTCTTTTCCAGGTTGATGGAGGCAAGGGAAAAGCTTCTGGGGATTGTAGCCAACATTTGTCAGTTGAGTTGTTTTATTTTGGTATTATGTCTTTTTTTTTTTTAAGTGCCCAAAGATGAGGACCTTTAAAGGAATAGGGCATGGTGTTTGCTTCCATTCCTGGGCTAGTGAAATAGCCCACCAGGTTATACGGTGTTCAGAGGCAAAAGACGGGCTAACTAATATACAAATTCTTAGCAGATCAATTGCTTTTATGAAGGTTACTCTGAAAACTCGTGTTTTTTTTTCTAACTAGCTTTGAATTGGGAAATATCTGCACGAATTCAAAGTTTAAATATATGTTCAAAAGGCAAATGAATAACTCCAAAAATAGGGTTGCCAATCCAAAGTTGTATCTTTTATAACATACCATTGTTCTTACTGGTGAAAAGACATCCAGGAGTTCTCTCCCTGTAGTATTGATGTGAACCATCTTTATGCAGACACAACTCCTGGATCCATTTGAAAGATTTAAATTAACTTTGTGTCAAGTTAAAATGGCTTGCAGATGTGAAATAGGACCTCTTCCCCCGCCGCCACCCCCCCCCCTATGAACTAAGCTGAAATCTGAGTGTAAATAAATGCAAACACTTTTGTGATAGAGAATACAAAAGCACAAAAACCTGAATTGTAAATGGATTTACTTTAACACCCTATGTTTGACATTCTGGTCTGACAATGAAAAGGTTACATTCATTTCCTGCCATGGTTGGCTTGCACTGCTGTCCATATGTATGGTGTTACTGCTCAGGAGGCACGGTACAGTATAGACCTTTTTTCCTCAAAACTCCCTCTTATTATAAGGAAGAGATAACATTTAATTCCTTTCTTAAAATACTCTATTTTTATAGAAAATAAAATTGCCTGGGAGTTCCACCACAAGTAAAAATAGTTAGAAGCCTGCACAAGTATTTTTATTTTAAATGTCATTGGGTTTCAAAAGAATACATCTGAATTCTTAGGAGTTAGGCTGTTAGACATTTGACAACAGAATAACATAGAACTTTGCTAAAATAAATGTAAACTGTCTCTGCTCTAAAGCTGTATATATTGACTATAACTTAACTTCTGATCAGTAACAAAGATATACAGCTGTATAGTTTAATTATTTCAGCAGGAATATAATATATACATTATAAAGTTATCCAGAGCATCTCCACAGCTAAATACTATAGAAATGTAATCTACCTGGACATGAAAGATTAAATTCTGAGGAAATTACAACCCATACAGAATTACCATAAACACATCAGATTTTGCTTGCACTCATTATAGCGTGTCCCCACAGAATATATATGTATATTTGTTATTTGGTGCTGTGCTGTACACAGATAAAGATGTGCTCGTGGCTCAAAGGAGTTTAAAAATCTAAGGGTTTGTCCTGCAAGGTGCTGAGTACCTTCTGCTCCCATTGTCAATGGGAGTGGACAGAATGCAGCATCTTTCAAAAGATCCTTAGCACCTTTCAGGGATCAGATTCTAACATGGACAAAAATATGTCAGTCCATACAATTTCATATATACATTAAGCTCCTGCCTACATTGGTTGAGGATCAAATCTGCATGCAAACTGTGTTTTGTTTGTTTGATAAAAGGCATGAGTGTGGCAAGGCAGATAATGGACTATCGCCAATAGTCTTTGAGAAGGAATTTGGATGTGGGGAGACCACTTTAAAGTCAACTTTAAAAAAATTCAGTGAATTCCTATGGGTTCCATTTGGCCACCTAAGATTTTTGGATCAGATCAATGAGTATTTTTTTTTATTGGTCACTAAGACTGTTCCTCCAGATAAAACCAACAGGGACCAGAAACCAGCATAGAGCTATTCAGGCATGCTAACAGCAACCAGTAAAATTGCCACTGGAGTGACAGGCAGCCTGTCTGAAGTAAAATAATTAACTCTGGACAGGCCATGTGCCTCACTTTACTAGCTTTCAGATCACAACAAAAGATAGAGGAGAAATTAATAAGACTGGGGCTTTTCAGCTTGGAAAAGAGATGACTAAAGGGGGACATGATAGAGGTCTATAAAATCATGACTGATGTGGAGAAAGTAAATAAGGAAGTGTTGTTGTTTACTTCTCATAACACCAGAACTAGGGGTCAACAAATGAAATTAATAGGCAGCAGGTTTAAACCAAACAAAAGGAAGTATTTCTTTGCACAACACACAGTCAACCTGTGGAACTCTTTGCCAAAGGATGTTGTGAAGGCCAAAACTATAATAGGATTCAAAAAAGAACTAGATAAATTCATTGAGGATAGGTCCATCAATGGCTATTAGCCAGGATGGGCAGGGATGGTGTCCCCAGCTTCTGTTTGCCAGAAGCTGAGAATGTGCGATGGGATGGATCACTTGATGATCACCTGCTCTATTCATTTCCTCTGAAGCACCTGGCATTGGCCACTGTTGGAATACAGGATACTGGGCTAGATGGACTTTTGATCTGACCCAGTATGGTTGTTCTTATATATCATTGATTCCATTTAACAGATGCAGGGACTTTCCTGAACCCATAGAGGCAGTCAGTGTCAGAGTATACATTAAAATTAGGAATTCCTACATCCCACTCTTATGCTCAGAACACTAGATCACAGTCCTCTCAGTTCAGAAGCTAATCTGGGCCAAAGAACAAATAATTGGGTGTGTAGCAATGGATGTCAGAAAAATAGTACAATTACAAGTATATTATCAATTTTAAATCATTGCTTTCTCACATGCCACTCAGTGCTCTAGATTCCTTACATCTGCTTCCATTGATGTTGAAAAGATTTAAAGATCACTCAGCACTTTGGTGGCTCAGGCTCTGTAAGCAGAGAAATACAAAAACAAAAAAAACGCAAAGTACCAATATCGTTTCTTATGTATCTACATTTTTTCTACTCTATTGTGCATTTGTCATTTACCTATGATGGTATGGAGGATGTTATAATGATTGTGTTGGCACTCATTTGAGATCTTGCATAACTCAATTGTGGCTTCACACCTTGTGAATAATTGGAATATCTCCATTTCATATTGATAAAAGCTTTAGAGTGCACCACACAATCATATATACTCTCTATATAATCTAGTCATCCACCACATACATACAGCCATCTGTGTATGGACTATGACTGCACACAATAGCGCTACACAGAATTTACACTTTCCACAATAGTTTGAGATTGTAGAAGGACACTATGTATGAATGGAACTGCAATGGGAATTTAGAAGTGGAATTTGATCAGGACAATAGATAGCTCTGGTTATCCCCAAAAATGTGAATTATCATATCTCTGATAACTTCATTAGTTGCTTTGATGTAATAGTCCAGATCCTGCCTTCCTTACCCACCCAAAATTCCCAGAGATGTGAATTTTGGGAAGGCACAAATGCAGGATGAACCCCAAGATATTATATAAAGTATTCCTGCTAGTCCTCATCTGGAGTAAATCAGCATAGATTAATTGAAGTCAATGGAACTATATGAATTTATACCAGCTATGGACTTGGACTTATTAATTGAATCACAAGATGTAATAAACCACTTTAACTGGTAAATTGGATTGTAACATTTGCCCCCTTCACATAAATATAATCAACTTTTGTTTACCTTTTCATTGCTCAGCAGACAATTGTGTGTCTTGCTAGCCTGAGACTAAGGGTACGTCTATCCCCAGCCGCTAGTTCGGCGGCTGGCAATCGAACTTCTGGGTTCGACTTATCACGTCTTGTCTGGAC